AGGGTTGTTAGGAGATGTGCTAGTAAGTATTAAAGTGTAGGCTGGATTTAATTGGTTCAAGAGAGTCAAGTAGCGGACTTCTGTGAAAGTGATGAACTTTCAGGACTTATAACAGCGGGGATTTTAGTGATCTGCTAAGTAGCTATCAACTTGCCAAGGAAGATCCTCCACTAGGGAGTTAAAAAGGCATATGTTCGGAGAACAGGCGGAACCTTTCAGGTTATGTTTATGAGGGCACTGAAGACCAGACTTGGAGCTTGGGAAATGGGAGGACTGCAGGTCGGGAGATCTGGTCTCTGTCAGCGCTGTCAGGATTCTCTGTCGTACAACTGCTCACTCCACACTGAAATGCTTTAATAAAGAACTACACAGTGGGTTCCCGGGTCGAAACCAAAGCATGTGACATGTTCAGTCGTCGACATAGACCCGTTCCACCAACTCTGAGGCCTCCCCACCCCCTCAAGTGAATTCAAATTAAATTTACAAATGTTAAATTATAGCTACTAGCATGTCGCTGTTTATCAAGTCTTTCAAACGACTTAGCTTATGGTAACTCGTTAAACATTATGCCATTAAGCCGTAAGGAGGAGTGGATGTAGAGATCCATGTATTCTTGACCTGGTCAAAAATGTTGGAGGTGAGTGGTCAGCTTCAAGACCCGGCCGCTTTACCCCCGGGGAAAGGCCCAGGTACCCATTCAATAGGAAGCTGAGTAGGCCCCAGAACCCGTCTGGACGATGTGAAGAGGAGAAAAATCATGCCTACTGGGACTCAAACTCCGACCCCTCAACTGTCCAGCCTGTAACCAGTCGCTAAACTGATTCTTCTATCCCGGCTGAATGGCTTAACATACGTACGTAAACATTTATTTAGGCCGTAATGTGAACCCGAATTTAACAGGAATCACGACGGCCTTACAAAAATTAGCTGATGGCCACCACACCGAATTTCGCCGAAATCGGTACGGTTGTTTGTGCACTGTTATTTGTGGATATAAGACAGACGCACACACATGAAGAAACTATTTCTTTATATTCACTTTCGAAATTATATCAGAACAATGTTTGCTGATGGGTAACGCAACAGATGCATGGAGCGAGACACTGTACGTTAACTCAAGTAAATAAGCTCTAGCTGGTTCTTAAATAAAGTTTAACGGCATATAAAAGTGGTTTAAAATGCAATAAAATTGTACAACTGCTGCACATCCAAGGGGTAAGTAATGATTAAACTTTCGAAAACCGAAATTTATTTAAACATTTTTTAAATGTTGTACTGCAGCATCCTGTTGCACTGTATCTACTTTTTATTCACGCACCGAATGCCGTCTCCCGTGCAACCCACACTAAAGATTTAAAATTTTAATTTTAAAACTCAACTGTTTCAAGCTGTATGTCTTTACTTCACACATCTATTGCACAGCGTGTTTCAGCCTATTTGGCCATCGTCAGGTGCATTACAATTATTGGATAAATTGCTGCATTTTCTGTACACTGATGCAACTCGTGTCGATTTGTTTTCCTAATTTCATGATTTAATTTTAAAATCCGAAGTATAATTTAATTAAAGAGCAGCATGTGTTGTAGACTGGCATATTTTTGTGGTGATATGTGTTTCCTTCAGTTATGCCTTGTGTAGACGTTATCTAAAAATGATGTTATCTGTTATTTGAAAATTACACGTAGGTTCTTATCTCAGAGGATAAACACTGCATCAGTATGAAGTTTGTGGTTCTCAGAGAGGTACTGTTTTTACGATCAATATGGAACAAGCGGTTAATCCTGAAACGTTGGTACTCGTCTACTAAACTTCACGGCGTCACATCTCAGAAGATGGTAACTACCTCTCTACTACAAAGAAAATTCTGTTAATGCTGACTGGGAAAAATATGGGCCGGTAACAGTGGCCGCGCCGTCTAAGACATGAACTGTCTAGCTCGTTCGAAAGCTGGGATCGTGGGTTCGAATCCCAATCGAGACACTGATATCTATGTGCGTTTATTGTGTGTGTGTGTTCTTCTGTGCGCAGGTAGCGGCCTTGCGACGGGCTGATCCCCCATCCAAGGAGTCATACCAAATGTGTATAGCATTAAGAAACTGAAAAAGCCGCCAAGGTCCAATAAAAGGACTGTAAAGATATAAATCGATAGGTAGATAGGTAGATAGATAGATAGATAAGGAAAGTATGGCTATCCACTGAATCATATCTAACACATAAATGCACTTTATGGACAAAATGTAAAGGTTTTGAATATTACAGCAGATGGTACATATAGCAACCGCTGTGCTTTCAAGGACTGAGGAGCAGTTGTAACTGGACAGACAACTGTTACATGCAATGAGTTATGGGAAACTTCTTCCTTTTCGTAAGATTTGAGGTCCCATGTACACTTTCCCCCTTCCTTCCCTGCTGTCATATGGCTGAGTTTATTTCCAACATCAGTCTGCTTGCACCTGTTCCCGCTCTCTTCGCTTGCGGATTTTATTTTTCCTTCTATCCTGAAGATGAAGGCGATACGTTCCTCCGAAACGTCGGTTAACACCACATCTACACGGTGCCACAGCTCAGAAGACTGCTTTCTTCTTCCCCTTCATTTACTCCTTATTATGCTCTTTTCGTTTTCCTTCTGTCCGTGATTCTTCTGCAGGTATACGTCTATACGTCTACGCCTAGCATAAGGGAATGCAGACTTGGCGGTATGTCAATCAGTCCATAATCATGTCCGCAAGTACTGAATGGAAGTGGATTAGTTTGGGAGCTTATTTGGGAATCCACAACAAAAGTTGTTTGGTTTGCAATATTCCAGTACATTCAGATAGAATCGAACACCTCGACATCATGGAAAAGACTCATCGAAGTGTAGTCGGTAAGGTAAAAGATAAATACTTCTTTGTGGTTAACTAATTAAGCACCACGCCATGAAGACGTATGGGGGAGTGTAGGTGTAGCTTCACCATTTTTAACCTCGGCACTAGTTGGAGAAGAGTGGTGAGCTTCACGCCCCAGCCTCTTTACCTCCGTCAAAAGAGCTCCCGGTACCCATCAGACAGAATACTGAGTGGGCCTCAGAGCTGGGTTGGACGTTATGGAGAAGATACAAATATCTTACACTTGCCGAGAATCGAACCCCTGCCGTCCACCTCGTAGCCTGTCGTTATACCAACTGAGCTATCCCGGCTCTTAGTATAGATTTAATATGACATAAATATAATTTTTACTACATCTAAAGGGAGCTGGGATAGTACAGTCGAAGAGTCGGGAGTTCGAGCCTCGATAGGGGCAAGAATTTACTGTTCTTCATGTCGTCCATGCTGGTTCTGGGGCCCAGCCAACCGCCTATTCAGTGGGTACCGATGGCTCTTTCTCCGGGCATAAAGAGGCCGGAGCGTGAAGCTGGCCCCTCAACTCCAACTAATGCCGAGATCAAGAAACCGTGGATCTATACATCCACTCCCCCATAAGCTTTCGTGGCGTAGTGCTTAATTAGTTAAGCACAGGAACGACTTAACATTTTTGTTTATCATTTACTACATCTATAACTTCATTTGAAATATTTTTTCGACCGTGTATACTGACCAAAATGGTGGAATATAGTTTGACTTTATGTGGTAATAAATTGACACCAAGGCCGAAAACAAAATAACAGATAAAGCATTTGAAAAACACATTCACTCCATCTGGAGCACGTCTTTATACTCCCTATTTTATAAAGCCAAATAAAGAAAACAACGATCATTTCCTTCCGTGCATGTACCGAGATCCGAAGTTTGTTCTGCGATTCTGGAAGACACCGTCCGGCAGCTCGCAAGGGTCAGCATTCTAAACACACAGTCCAGTTATACTACGAAGCGCAAATCTTCCCTTCAGTTTCGTTGTAACTAATAATACCGCGAGTATACGGTGTTCATGTACAGTTGGCACCACTGAAGTTCACGACAAGCGTTGGTATGAATGATCTTTATATTGAAACAAAACACCCTTACTCCGCTTGAACACGTCGGAATTTACTTGACGGGTTCAGGCGCGTCGAATTGAAGCAACCGACTGCCTGAGTTTATTTTGAGTCAAGTGGCAGACGTCTGGGGCCAGGACAGCAAGAAGGCGAAGCTTCTACCACTAGATTATATCCTTAGCCAGTCCACATCTCAAATTATTTCCCTAAAATACACTTTATATTATCGGCCCATCTATTTCTGTCTTCCACTTTCCATGAAGTTTCATCAGCAAAATTTTGTTCTAGTTTTCTGTCCTTTCGGTAACTGTATTCTTACTCCCTAAACATTCGTTACTAATAACGAAAGGTATAAAAGTTCTACACAGGACAACAGCCTATCATAAGCTCCTTCACTCAACCTTCTTAAACCAATTAACGTTAATTATATCACAGGGATCGAACAGGCTTGTGTGAGGACGTCTGAATATTCCACCGAAATGTACGGTGATTCTAAATTACTGCCAGGGTTTCCATGGCCTATAATTTTTAAATCGGAAGCAATAAAATACAATTGCTTAATTAATATAAAAATATACTCAACAAGTTCTACTATTTATAGAATTAATTCTGAGAATGCTAAACAACTTCAATATTATATGCCACGAAAACCCCGACAATAATTTCGAATCACTTCTTGTAACTGTGCAGAGTGGTTGCTTTATTCCCTCATCTGTGCAGTAAACGAATATAAAGGTGAGTAAAGCACTAACTCCGTGGTACTTCCCACGGCGGCGACCCGGGTTCGATCCCGGATCTGGTCAAGTGGGATTTGTAGTGGACAAAGTGGCGCTGGGGCAGGTTTTCTCCGAGTACTTCGGTTTCCCCTGCCAATCTTCTTTCCACCAATTGCTCCACAATCACCCTCACCTATCATCTGGGGTTCGTACAATAGGCCAGAAGTGGCCGCAGTACAAGGGACTTAGTCCCACCCCACTAGCAATAAAAAAAACTCCCTAGTACAAGGTCTGTGGGACGTCATTGCTTGTGGGAGGCAAACTGGACTCACCTGCTGGGAGAGCTTGGTCATATCGACGGGCTTGATTCGCTTGAGGGCAGACAGCCGCTCCAGACGCTCTCTGGCCTGCTGCTCCACTGCGATGACGAAAGCATCCTGGACATTGCTGTTCTGCGCGAGGTCCAACGCTGAAACAGACAAAAAGAAGCAAGGAAATAAGCATCCCGTATGTCCATAGTCTAGCTGTTCCGTCCACGGAGGAAAGACAATGCGAGTGCTACACCTCGGCCCTACATGAAGAAAAGCATCCAGATTTGACATCTGTCCTAGTCGGCCAAAACACCCGCGTATGCATCGCTGCGGTTTTTGGCAGCGAATTCATGTTGAAATTTTTAGTGTTAATGTGTTTATGACACATGACCAGAACAACAGAGGCCTGTGGTCGGAGCGGTAGTTCTCTTTAGCTCGTGTCCGAGCAACAACTGCGTATGGTTGCGGTTATTATATCACTTTAAATGAATGGAATGAAATTAACGTTCATATATAGCGAAGGCCACGTCAGTCTGTCTTTTTTCAAAGATTTAACTCCGAGATTACTGAGCGTTTTTCAATCAGATCTTATACTGAGGTCCATATCAAAATCAATCGGTGAAAATCGTTTATGTTGGAACATGATACTTAAATGTGACGTCAACAATTTTCTCAAAATCGACTCATCGTACAGAAAGTTGAGCATGAAGACCTGAAATGTAAGTTACCGGCCAATTATATCGTGTTTATTCCCTGAACGGCGCGTAAGGCTGACAGATTTACCGCCATCTGTGAGTCCATTGTCTAGAGAAAATGTGGGAGCCTCAACGTCTCACAAACCAATGGGCCTTTACGGCCTGTTACAGGGATAGTTTTACCTTTACTACCTGAATAGACTGTATGTTACAGACTCCAACACGTTTCAGCGTCACAAGGTCATCCATAACCAGGGTGTATATAACATTAAAAGAAACTTTTACAATTCACTTGTGTAAAACCTTACAATATCTAAGACCCCCTTAACATTAGACCTATGTTACAATCCTATCAATATATATAAGTATCCATACATATGTGTATGTGTAGTTGTCCTTACACTTAATTAAATATAAAGGAATCTTTCGAAAAAAACTGTCGATCGTAATTAGTCTACAAATGCATTTTTATGTGAAATATACCTCGATATCGCGAATATGTAACGAACTGCAAGAACAACCAAACACAGCGTTCCTGAGCGCTCCTGCAGCGCTATCAGTTCCGCAGCAAGATGGTTATAATCTGCGATACATTAACATTCAAATCTATGAGTACGCAAAATCCTGAAGAATGTTTTCCCTTCTTGTTCGGTTTCATCTGACGAGACAGAAAAATGTATGTATCGGTTAGCATCACTGCCCAGTCAGTTGATTGACCCATAGGAAAACTGGTTCCTCGACTTCTAAAAACCACAACTCTCAGCTACTGCACCTTTCAGATATTCATCTCTACCACAACACTGCATTTCGCTCTCGACTGTACCCGTCCAATTTACACGTCAGAAACACATTCGTCCACATGATATAGGTCGACGTCACTACATTCTTAACACAATGCTACTATTCATTCATTCATTATTAGAGGGGGTGGGTTTCCCCATGCACTTAGACCAGTTATTGGTCCATTGTGCTCCCCCCTTTAATTTCTGCTGTCTCCATACCCTTCCAGTACTGGTGCTCGCTATCTCCCCATTCTACCAGGGAGGTCGGCCCTCTTCTGGCAGTGGTACCCGATACTTCCCCATCTACCGGAGGCATTGGAAACTACTTGGACGTGAAACTTTGCCTAATTTTGCTCAGAGGTCTCCTCAGAGGATCTTTTACGTGCCGTAAATCTACGACATGGGACCCACGGACCCACTCCAACAGTCTATTCCAGCAACACGACAGGAAATTGAGTATGGATTTACTCTTTACGAAATAATTTTTCTCTGTGTTCGGTAGGGGACTAACTACTTCATTAAACTACTGAAATTAGCTCAGTGTGCCGAAACTTTTCTACTTCGAGTCATATTACAATTTAATACAGTAGCTATTAAGTTACTGTAAAATTTGCTGCATGTATTCATAAATTTTATTCGTGTAGATTGTAGCCTTCTGTGAAATTTCTCCGAAGCATTAGTTAGTTAGTTATTGGAGAGGGTGGGTTTCCCCATGCACTCAGACCAGTATTGGTCCACTGTGCTTCCCTCTATGATATTCTACCAGTCTCTATACCCTACCGATACTGGTGCTTACCATCAGTCGCAACCGAGCCAGCGAGTTCGGCCTCTACTGGCTTAGCGGTATCTATAATGCTTCCCCCATCTATCAGAGGCGTTAGAGACTACTGTTGGGCGGGAAATGTCCTTGAATTTGGCTCAGTGACCTCCTTTGGAGATATGAGGTTCTTTTACGTGCCGTAAAGCTACGACGCGGGACCCACGGCTTAAAGTCCCTCCCGGAGGACTTGTTCCCTGAATTTTTCCGCCTTTAAAAATTCCACGACCTCCGCCGGGTTTGAACCCGCGTACCACGAGTCATGAGGTGGGAACGTTACCTCTAGACTACGGAGGCCGCTTTCTCCGAAGCATTAGTAACTACCTACCAGGCTATGCAGTGTTACAGTCCGTAAGATCACCGCCGTGACAAATCTCAATACTCGGACGTTCATATTATTCTTCATAATTTGTTAAGCGTTCTAATTGTATGACCTACAAAATCTGCATATTGCTTTACTCTCTATAAAAAACCTGACGTTTTAGGATCGAATAATATAACCTTTATAGTATGCATCCTGTTGTGTGTCATGCGACAGATGGGACAGTCTACACAAAAATAGTTCCGAAAAAGACAAAATAGAAACTACTGTGTCAACATTTGTTGAACAATGACGCAATTCAAGAACTAGTACCAGTATTCTTGGACGCCTGAAGGTGGCCCGAGAAAAGTATCGAAACATGTACCGTTACCACCAACAGCTAATAAAACAAATGTTGACACAGTAGTGTATATTTTGTATTTTTCGAATTATTGGTGTGTAGACCGTCCCATTATATACAGTCAAATTAATTGGTATATATCAAGTTCTGTAGGTTGCAGATAATCAAAACTGGGTTATTTACCTCGGGTTTCTGTGAAAGCGTGAACTTGACTAACAGGAACCAGTTTGCAAACTGGTTCTGGCTGTTTCTGACGGGAAAGGTTGCCGCTTCATCAGTTGACAGCTCGTGTCTTTCGCAAGTGCGGGCTGATTTTGAACCCTGGGATAATTTTTGTTTTTGCGAGTGTGAAAATAGACATTACACCGAAGAAGCGGGCAAAACTTGTTGCTCTTAATGAACACACATCTATTACTGTGAGAGACACTGCCCCCGTTGCTGGTGTTGGAAAATCGAGTGTGCATACAAGGATTCCGGATCACTTTCTCCAAACAGGAAAGGAAAATGCCGAAGACAACGAAACAAACACTCCTCGTACTGATCAGCTTCTATTGAGAAACAGTAGGTCGCATCCAACAGTGACAAGTAAGAACATTCAAAGGGACTGACACTGATGCTTCAACAGTATGGCGTAGGCTTCTTGAATTTGGAAAGAAGGCAAGAAACCAATCATAAAGCAATCGTTGACACCCGCTATGAAGCAGAAGCGGTTGGCATGGGCAAATAAATATAGATCGTGGACAACTGATGACTGGAAGAAGGTGGCTTTCAGTGAGGAATACATTTTTTTGTTCAAGGTTACAGAGCAAACGTTGTCAGACGAAACAGTGATGAACCAGTAAGAGCGAAGCATCTTCAGCAGACTGTAAAGTACCTCCCAAAAAAATGTTTTGGGGGTTTCTCACTGTAGTTGGTCCTGGGAGTCTAGTTCCAATTGACGGTGTGATAAATTCATCAAAGTACATCAAAATAATTAAAAGTAGAGTTGAACCATTCCTGCAGACCTTTGCAGATGGTAAGACATTTCAACATGACCTTGCACCATGCCACAACTCAAAAGAAGATGGCAGAAAACAAGATCAGCATGATCGATAGGCCTGGTAATTCTCTAGATATGATCCCCGTGGAAAATTTGTGGAGCATACTGAAGAAACGTCTGGGTAAAATGGACTATTCAGCTGAAGAGCGTGTGGTAGCGAACGTGATAAAAATGTAGTTCCACGACAGTGGAGTGAAAAAACGTTTGCTCTACACTGGTTGAATCAATGCCAAAACGTGTCCAGGAAGTCATTCTAGCGAAAGGGGAACACATTTCTTACTAAAATTATGTGACAATTATATCTGAAGATTTAGAACAAACAAATGTCAAATATTCAAGTTTTTTTTTTTAATTTTGTCCCAATTAATTTGCCTACTACTGTATCTATCGAGTACTATAGCCTGAATCATAGTCGTCACACATACATCCTGAAAATTCACTTAATATAACCAATATATAAAGAAACTTACGATACGTATTAGATGTAAAGTAAAAAAGTAAAGCTATCCGTGTACCTGGCCATGAAGACCCATAGGGCTGTGAGACGTTGAGGGTCCCACATTATCTAGACAATCGGCTCAAAGATGGCGGTAAGGTTCTCAGCCTTACACGCTGGCCGCGCTTTAATCCCCAGGAAAATTATTTACTTAATTCCTGGTACTCATTTCTGTTAGAGGCTGAGTCGATCCCAGGGCCATAGTGCGGCTGGAAGGATCAGGTCAACTGAAAAAATCCAATGACCTCATCGGGACTTGAACCCGCGACCTTCCGGCTTGTAGCATAGTGCCTCAACCAACTACGCTACAGCGTTTTATCACTTTTATCCACAATTCCTTCTTCTTCGAGGATCACAATTCTTTTTTTCTCTCTCTCTCTCTGTGGCGCTACAGCCCCAATTTTGGGCCTAGGCCTACCTGCATGAAACTCTCCGTTTCACTTCGGTTTACTAGATCTTACACATACGGTAGGACTCCTTGGGCGAGTAATCAGCTCGTCGCAAGGCCTCTACCTGTAGACAAACACAGAAAAACGCACACAAACATCCATGCCCTGAGTGGGATTCGAACTCACGATCCCGGCTTCCGAGCGAGCGAAGACAGTGCATGGCTTTAGACCGCTCGGCTACCGTGACCGGCGAGGATCACAATTCAATATGGGTCTAA